TTATCCGGGTACTCCAGGCAAGAACATGAATATAATCGTACCTGGATATCTGAGGTGTATGGATTCCAGGATGCTGCGCTGGTACCATAAGCCACAGATGCTCAAATCCTTTGTCTAAAATGCCATACTATTTTCAAATAGCCTACACACCCTCCCATCTACATTAAATAATCTCTGGATCACTTATAAAAACAAACACAATGGAAAGGCTGCGTAAGTGGCTGTTGTGCTGTATTGGATAGGGAATAAAAACTAGGAAAGAATTCTGGGTATGTCCATTTTCCCCCAATATTTTGTAACTGATATTGAACAGACCTGTTTGCATAGAACCTGCAAAGACAGAAGGTCCCCCACCCATCAGACTTGGCTCTCGGGTGAGAAGACCTCATTTCTGATGCATTCACTAGGTGTCAGGCCACGCTTAACCTGCTCACTCACTCAACAAGGGTACTTAATCATGGTTTCTAAGTCATCAGGCTCCTGAGGCAGAGGTTGTAAACCAACCAATACAGAATCCAATATAGAATCCAAGTATCCAATGACTGTGGCTCCATCAATCCAACACAGAGTGGACAGCGATTACGGAGGCTGGGCAGGTCCAGATCAAAGACCACGACAAACATTCAGAGGAAACACTCAGCAGCTTGACACGGCTTCCATGGTCTGCGGCCGCCTGAGTACGCACACTGAGTGAGGGAGCTGAACGCAGGACCTAGTGGCGTCATCTCACCGCCCTGCTCCTCTCAGCAAGCCTTGGGTCTTCATCCAGGCAACCTCCTCACATCTTTGCCCCGCCATTCCATTAACCAGGAAGGTGCCACAGGCGGACTCCAAAAACGAAGTGTAACTCCACCACTTCTGAGTGCAATGGGAGCTCTGCCGGAGGCTTCCCTTTGACCTCAGGACACCCTTCCGTCACAGCAAGACAATCTCCTACAGCGACTGGGTCTGGTCTTGCTGACCCTGACCACCAGGGTGCCCTCTTGAGTGGCATTTCCAGACCTGAGGACTTCTGCTGCTCAGAGCTCCCAGACACCAGCACCAGACAAGCATATCCTGCTCCCAGGACCCTTGGGGGAGGGTGGGGAGCTGATGGTACAGCATCAGGCACCTGCCAGGAGGATGCATAGCACCCCAAAACTCCTCCCATGTTCCTGGGCCTCCAGCCTTCCAAGAAGGGTTCCTCCCACCCCACCCTGGTCTTGAATGCTTCTGGGTTGGCCCGGTGTCTCACTGGCAGGTCCCAACACAGCACGCAACAGACCCTAACTGTCACTGCCATGGCCTTGACACCCGAACCCTTGGGGCAAGGGAACTGCGAGTGTCTCATGCTTTTCTCACACATGGCACCCAGACAAATTAAATACACAATCATTTTCTATCACTTAGGCAAACCCAACTCCCTTAGCTCCAAAATGCACACATTATAAATAAAATATAAACTCACCCAGAACTCCCTGAAACCTCCACTCTCACTCTCAGAGAACAGCGCCAGGAAAGCCGTCAGCTGTTCCCTGTCTGCCAGGAGGGCGAGGATCCAGCAAGCCTGGAGCTGACTGTGGGACCTCCCCAGCAGGCAGGGCCTCTGCACACATAAACCCCGCCCCAGGAGAGTCCTCGAGAAATGAAAGTGCTACCATCTGCTAATCTTGCAAATCATTTAACCTAAAGAGAACACACACAACAGCCAAGGTCCTGAGATACCAGGTATTTGATCCAGGGTTAGTCAGCAGCGGCCCAATTTCAGGATGAAAAAAACTCCAGTTTAGGGGCTAGCATTGTAGCACAGTCAGTTAAGCTGCTGCCTGCAATGCCAGACACTGCCAGACACTGCATGTGAATACCAGTTTAGGCCCCAGCTGCTCCACTTGGGATTCAGCTCCCTGCTAATATGCCTGGGAAAGCAATGAAGGATGGCCCAAGTCCTTAGGCCTCCTGTACTCATGTGGAAGACCCAGATGGAGATTCTGGCTCCTGGCTTCAGCCTAGCTCAGTCCCAGCTGTTGCCGCCATCTGAGGAGTAAATCAGCAGATGAAAGATTCTTTCTTTTTATGATTCTTTCTTTCAAGTAAACAAGTAAGTTATAGAATAAATAAATAACAACTCCAATTTAGCAAAAGTTTTGGCAAACCCTTCTTAAGTAGGAGACACCTGTCACCAATGAGACATCCATGCCATGAACATTGAAGATGGCTGACCTTTTGCAAAAATGAGGAGAGGTGAAAATTGATGTATCACCTTGGCCTTCCACCCACTCCTCTGTGTCCCAAATCAGAACCACCACTAATGCCCCCACCCCCAAGGTGAGAGACCTCTGAAGACTCAAGGACCTGCTCTGCTTCCCACAATAGCTCCGTCCCATGGCAACGAGAACTGACGCAAACTCAAGGCCCTGGCTCCAGATGCCTGGCCTTGCCTAGCAAGTGCAGTGCAGAAAAAAAAAAAAGAATAAGCCTTGAGCCACGTTGCACACGGCCACATCGGGGGACAATCAGTCCCTTCCTTTAGTTATACAGATCTCACCACACATGGGTTGACAGTAGGGCAGAATAGCACGAATCAAGACCTCTGCGAGAAGGCTGGCCCATACAGTTGCCATGCCAACACTCCACGATGCCAAACAAGCATCTGCAAGGTCCAGACGCAACTTGGCTGGCTTCAAGAGATGAGATGTTGCAAAGGCAGAGCCGCCTCCTGGTCCCGGCCCTCCCTCTCTCTGCTCAGCTCCCTGATGTCTCAGGGAATGATGATGATGACAGTGTCTGAATCTGTCCAGCCTCTGACGGCACGGATGGCCACCTCATTCTCTAAGTATCCGTAAATCCACACGCAGCACCCTGGTTCACCCAAAGGACTGCTTTTGGAAACAGTGTGTTGCTAACCACCAATTTCAAAGGAAATGCAGTCTGTCCTGACTCCTCACCTCCAGCCAAGTTGGAGCTGGGAATGAACTAGCAAGGGCGAAATGAAGAGGATGGGACAGGCATTTGGCCTGGAGTTGCGAAGTCTCCCATAGGGAAGAGCCTGGGCTTAGTACCCAGCTTCACTCTCAGCTCCAGTGTCCTGCTTGGCTTGGGCAGGCGTTTGGGAAGCTACCTACCTATGGACTGAGTTCCTGACTTCTGGCTTCTGCTCCTGCTGGGAGGCCATTGTGAACATTTGGGAAATGAATCAATGCCTCTCCAATAAGTAAATATTAACCCAAACTACATGGCTGCCAGGTATCTCATCTCAAACTTAGCTTCCAGTTCTCAGTTCCTTTCTCCTATGCAGGAAGTCAAATCCTGCAGTAGGGCAGGGAGGCAGTAAGAAAGGGCTAAAGGACTTCATTGGCACCCTGTGACTTCCCATCCTCATCCTTCAAAACCGATTGTGCCTCCTGCGCCAACTACTCATTGCAGGGCTCCCATAGGGTGAGCACCTTTCCCACACAACTACACCCGGCAGAGGGCTAGGAGGGGCAGGAGGAAGGAGGAAGGTGAAGAAGGGGCTCAGGGCCCAGAGGTCTGAAGCAGAGGCTCTGATGAACAGCCTTCCTGTAACTTCTTCCCTCCCTCCTCCTTCCCTTGCAGGGCTCTGACGGTGCCCGGTGCCCCGAAGTTCCACCGGGCGCCTGGTCAGCCCAGGGCTCCCCTGCCATTTCCTGGGCCACTTTCCCTGGGTCTGAGACTGATTCTGAGAGGAGGAATGGGGGTGGAGCTGGGGCTGGCTGGGTCTGAGCGGCTCTCAGGGTTGCCTCCTCCTGCCATCTCTGGCCAACCCTGCAGATCTCAACACTCTGGGCTTCCAGCGCAGTCGGCCTCCCTCCTCCTCAGTCTTTCTGTCCAAACGCCCACCAATGCTCCGGGAGCAGCGTTTCCAGGACGGGGCAGAAGCGGCCAGGCCACCACGCGTCCACACGGATGCCCCACGGATTCCTGCGGTGCAGAGCTCAAGATGAACAAGCACCTGCCGACCTGGCTTCTCTCCCGTAGAGCTCACCGTGCCTCTTCCCCCGGCCCAGATCTTTCAATGTCACTATTGTCCCCAGCTCCGCCGCTTTAGGTCCTCCTGGTGCCCGACGGGCCAAGCAGCGGGTACACTCCATCCCCCACCCCGCAGCCGATCCAGAAGGTCACCCAAGCTGTCGCCCACCGCCCGCCGCAGTCGGAAGACCGCGTGCGCCTGAGCGCGCTCTCGGCGGGTACCACAGGCTGCAGTCTCAACAGGTGCCCCTGCCTGGCCACACGCAGCTGTCACCAGGGCGAAGGCGGAGACAGGAACGCCCTCTACAGGATGGCTGGGACCTCGTACGCCCCCGCCGGGGTCCCCAAGGCTCCGACGGCCCCCGCAGCTCCTCCGTAGGGGCGCCTGCCCGGCTCCATCGCCTTTGTTTCCACGGTGGCTTAGACTATGCGGGGCTGCTAGGGAATGACCATCGCCCTCTGCTCAGGTTCTTGGTGGGGTGGTAGGGGTGAGGAAGAGTCCTAATGTTGGGGTGAGGGATGCAGACAGACCTTTCCTGGACTCAGAAAAGACAGCAGGGTGTCAGTACGGGGAAACCGGTTCAAGTAGACGCGGGTTGAGAACAGGGCTCGAAGGTTGGAGCCTCGCGCCCCTCCGCTGCCCACGCCCCCCACCTGACGTCTTTTGGCCCCAAGAGACTGGAAAAGGGGCGCGCACTTCCACCTACGCGCTCGGCCGCGCGCCGCTCCCACGGCCCGCCAAGCCTCGGGCCCGGCAGCGCCGTGAGGGAAGAGTCGCCACGTTCCCAGTCGCGCGCACCCCGGGCCCACCAAACTTGCAGCACTTTCTCCCAGCCCTCATCCACTGTCACTCTCCCTTCAAACCGGCACCACTCCCCCGGCCCCTCCAGCCCGGCCCGGGTTGCCATAACAACGAGCTGGAATGCTCCGACAGATACAAAGCCTGCTCGGCGCGGCGGGCACTCAGCCCCCCGGCCGGGCCCCGCGTCCTCCCTCGGCGGGGATGGCCCGCGCGCCGCAAGAGGGGGACTCACAATGAGCGGGATGGTGCGGTCCTCACGGAGCTGCTCCGGTCTCCCACCGGCCCTCGGCGCGCCCCGGCCGCCGGAGGATGCTGCGTGGGCTCGGTTGTCCTGCCATAAGTAGTAGAAAGTGCCCAGGATCCAGGCTACAGTCAGGATGGCGATAGCGTTGGCGCGGATTTTCCTCATGGTGGGGCGGACGAGCGCCCCGAGTTGGTGGGGGGGCCGGGCCGGCTGCTCTCCGGGCCGGGGCGGGGGCGCTCGCAGCCCCAGCTGTTTGTTTGCGCTCGCGCCCGGCTGCTCAGTCCTGCAGAGCAGAAAAAGGAGCGAGATGGGGCGGGTTGGGGGGTGATAGCGAGAGAGACAGGAGCGCCGAGCGATCCTCACGGTCCTAATGCCCTTCAGCCCCGAGCGCGCGCGTCCCCCGGGCGCCCATTCATTCACCAGCACAGCCCGCTCCGCGCTCCAGCCGCCACCGGTCACTGCGCCCCGGGAAGCGGAGGCGCGGGCCTTGCTTCTCGCGCCCGGGGACCCGGCGAAACGAATGCCCGCGGCCGAATGGCGACGGGCCAGAAGCCAGCCTCCTCTGCCAGAGCCGGCGCTCCCCGCCACCCAACCCACCCAAGCACCGGGCGGCTGCCCCCGCGCGGCTCTGCTCGGCGCCGCTTCCCCTGGACTCACCCCCGGCCCGAGCGGCCCTGAGTCAGCGGCTGGAGATGCGCGACCCCCGGGCCTGGGCCCGCCTCGCAAAGAGCTGCAGTTCCGGGCCGCGCTTTCAACTGCTCTCTGGCGCGGGGTTCAAGGTGTGTGCGGCGAGTCCTTGGGATGAAGCGGCTGAGCCGGCAGGAGGCAGAGGCCGGAGTTGGTGCTGGAAGCCTCCGCAGCCCACGGTTCCGCGCTGCCTTAGACCCGCCCTGAGGAGGGATTGGAAGCTGGCGTTCGGAAATTGGTGCAAGGAGAATGGGGTGGGAGGGGGTGCAGCCACCTCACGTCTTTCACTAGCCAGGGGCTTACGGCGGCGTTCAAGGCGCTCCCCTCCACTCCGCCTCGCTGTCTGCTGGCCGCGTCCGAGGTATCCTCATCACCGTTTCATCAACGCAGGCAAAGGCAGGCCAGACAGGCCAGATGATTCTCCCGCTGGGCTAAGCGGTAGACAGACCCCATTCTCTCCGTCTGACACCACCTCCCACCAAAGTGCAAAACCCGGTGGGGAGAGAGCGGACACTGACAGCGTGGAGTTTGCGCAGGCGGCCTGAGGGCAGTAAGGAATGGCTGGGGCAGAGGGCAAGGTGGACTGGATTGGTGACCGGCACACTCTAGGAACAGATGAGAGATTAGCAGGAAGTAGGCATCACAGAGGAAGAAAATGTATTGTGAAATGATCTTCTGGGAGACTTCTCCCGCAAAGTGGACAAACCCCTTGACTAAATTCCAAAGGGGAAAAGAAGCGGAGGACTGGGGTGGGGGGAGGGTGGGCTGCAGTCTGCAGCAGTAATGGGAGCAGAGATTCAGGGCATGGAAGTGCTTGATGAGTTTGGAGAAGCACTGTCCAGCACTGCACAGAGGCCAGGACGCTGGATGGATTCCGTGGGAGCTGGAAGGGGGGGCGGCATGTGTGGACTCAGGAGAGCTGAGTAGGCAGCCAGTTGCTTCCTGGTGGGAGTGCTGGGCACTGCAACCCAGGAAGACCTAGATAGCCCCTCCCCACCAGTTTCCAAATGAAGCCACTAGTGCCACCCCATCCCCACTGCCCCGAGGCATACAAGTGAAGGAAGGCAGCATTCGTTGGTTCATTCCTTCAGCATGCAGGACTGGCCATGCCTGTGACAGGTGCACCCTATCCATTACTGAGAAAGAGAATAAAGCTCTTGGCTGACTTTATGCTGCAGAAAGCCCAGGTCTCCTCCATGACTGCGATTCCCATGCTTATCACAAGGATGTCTAAATTTGTCCAAAACCAGGCCCAGCAGCACTGTGAGCCTCTGAACATAAGAATGCCCAAAGAGGTTCTCACAGGGGGTCTGTGACGGTAGCTGAGGGTCAGCTCTGTGACACAGCGAGTTATGCTGCTGCTTGCATTGCCAGCATCCTATGTCAAACCACTGGCTCTGGCTGCTCTGATGCACGTTCCTGCTAACATGCCTAGAAAGGCAGCAGGAGGTGGCTCAAGCCTTGGGTTCCCCACACCCACATGGGAGACCTGGGATGAAGTTCCTGGCTTTGGCCTGCCCATCCCTGGTTGTTCTGATAATTTGAGGAGTAAACCAGTGGATGGAAAATCTCTTCCTTCTCTGTCACTTCACCTGTCAGATAAATAAATAAATCCTTCTTCCTTGCTTACTTTTTTCTTAATGATTTTTTTTTATTGGAAAGGCATATATACAAATAGGAAGAAGGCAGTCCGCTGATTCACTCTCCAAGTGACTACTGCAACAGCCAGAGCTGAGTCTATCCAAAGCCAGGAGCCAGGAGCTTCTTTCAGGTCTCCCATGCAGGTTCAGAGTCCCAAGGCTTTGGGCTGTCCTCAACTGCTTTCCCAGGCCACAAGCAGAGAGTTGGATGGGAAACAGGACCACCAGGATTAAAAACAGCGTCCACATGGGATCTTGGCACATGGAAGGTAAGGACTTTAGCCGCTAGGCTACTGTGCCAGGCCCTCTTTTTTTTTTTTTTTTTTTTTTTTAAGGAACCTGGAGGCCATTGCACAAGCTATATGTGGTCACAAACCACAATGGCTAGTGCGTGCACAGACCATGGAGCTGACTAGCCTTGCCTCCTAGGTCCCTCTAGCCTGGGAATTTATTGTGACTGCAAGGCAGCCAGGGCTGATTTGTGTAGATGGATAAAAACCACTATACAGCCACTGGAATCACAGGCCAAAGCCAGCAGTCTTGTGCCTTAGGATTCAGGCTCCTGGACAGTCCCCCCAGGCAACTAAGAAAGGTGAAGGGACCTGTCCTGCACACCCCCATTCTCACATAGGCTCTAAGAAGTCAGCTCCTAGAAGCCCTGAGGAACCACACTCAGCCCCTACTCTCTCCCCAGCCTGTGCTGTGCCTAATGTAGATGCCCTTGGTCTTGAACCTCCTGGTAAAAGGCTCTGACTCACCCTGCCCCCCAGCATGGTTGGCTGGGGTTGGACCACACCAAGCTGACAGCCCTGATGAAGGCCCCTTGAGGACCAGGAGGGAGGAACTAGAGTTGGGCAGGGCTGCCACAAGGCTCATGGCTTACTCCCCAGGACTCCGCCGTGAGCATGCCGCACACATTTACAGCTAACAGTGTGGTGCACGCTCTGAGGATTCTGCCCAACTGGTTTCCAAATATTTTGAAATGCTGTTGATTCTGCTGATCCAAGGATGACAAAACCCAGGAGTCCATTGGCTGACACAGTCAACCTTACAGTCTCCATTCACCCTGATTTTTGCTGCCATTGTTTAGCTGGGGTAGTTCTCCAATTGCTCTGTCCTCCTTCCTCTGCTATGGTGCTAGATGTCCTCTGTAGGCTCCAATGGACTGCCATATCCTCCATGTGTATCTAGGTATGCCATCCACTGCTCTGTCTTTTCCAATAAGGAAGACGAGTTTATGCAGGTGGGATCAAAGGCCCAGGCCAGGTAACCTGGTCTCCGCAGGACACCCTGCCCCCAGGGCTCACAGACCGGGCATCCACAGTGCTCAGACTGGCATGTCTTGCCTCACCTCGGCATCCACCAGTGGTTGTTTCAACCTGGCTCTGTCTAGCCTGGTCCCCGTTCCAGCTCCTGCTGGTGGGTGCTGCAGCCGGATCCATTCCAACCAGCCCTCAGTCCCAGTCCTAATGTAGACTGGCTGGTGTCGTGGCCCAACCCAGCTTGTCCTGCACCCCATCCTGGTTCTCAGATTTACCAGTGGATGTTAAGAACTAGCGCAGCCTGGCCTGTCCCCAGATCTGACCCACATGTATGCCGATGGTACTATAAGCTGGCATGGTCTGAGCTGCTGCTTACCTTGGTTCTTGCACTTACCTGCAGGGACTGCGTCCTGACAAAGCAGAGGAACATCTTTTTATTTATTTATTTTTTAATCAAAGACTTCATCACCTGCTCTGTATCAGAACAGGCTCCTGGGGAAGGCTTGGAACAGACCCTGGCTCAATCTCCTGGAGATCAGATGAAAGACCAGAGAGAATTCGAGTCGAACAGACCTGTGGCCCTGGTCCTGCTTTTCTTTCCATCTGAAGCCTATAATGGGTAACTCCATTTTGTTCCCTTTTATTTTTACTTTCCATGATATAGCTCCATCAGCTCAGGGATTTCCCCTTGCACTCTCCCAGCCCCCTCCCCCTCCACTGCTTTCCCTTATCACAATTGTTATTCCTTCAGCAACGGTCCCAAGTCCATCATTCTGCTACTTCAGTGGGATTCCTCCATTTTCCTGGTGAAGCTGGGCAGCGGAAATAAAGAGAATGTCCCTGGGACTGGTATATATTTGAACCTCTCAGCTGGGCTGAAAATACCTACTGAGACCTTTTGGAGGGTAATTTCTACTCCCTTACCAGTCAAAATAACTGAACAGGAAGAAAAAGCTGTTAATGCAGGAGCTGTGTAACATGAGATCCACACTGCTTGGAAATTTACCATTTCATAGCAATTGAGGGCTTTTACACAGCCAATGTTGACAGTCCGCTATGACCTGCTGCCACCCACGAAGCCACCCTCTGGGGCCATCAAAAGGCCCATCAACCCGTCTGTCTTGAATACTGAGAGTGCCCACCGTGTCAGGAGCTGGTGTCGGGCAGGTAATTTTAAAAAATCATCCTGTTGTTTGGTCAGCACAAAAATCTTCCTCCTCCTGGTAAGCTGGTGGTCACCAGCTGGGGCCAATGGAGCCAATGGTGGCAGAGCTGCCAGGTGGCATGGGCTGGCACTTCACCCCCCTCACTATCCCCACCCCAGGTCCACGCATGGCTCATTCTCTCCGTCTGCTCTGATATGTTTCCCTCCCGCCCAACCAGAAAATGCCTGCCTGTTTGCAAGTAAGGGCTTTGGTGCAAAAGTACTAGGAAGGTCTTTCCTGATGCTAATGAGCATTTTAGGGTTCTATTTACTAGTTTGAATATTTCAAACTATTACCTCCCCCCCCCCCCCGCAAAATCAGTGGCAATCAGTGGCCAACACCTTAGCATGATAGGCTAAACTTTACCCTGTAGCACTGGCATCCAAATGGGTACCCATTTGAGTCCTGACTGCTGTTTGTTTGTTTGTTTCTTTCTTTCTTTTTTATTTTTTATTTTCTGACTGCTCTATTTCTAATCGAGCTCTCTGCTAACGTGGCTGGGAAAACAGCAGGGGATGGTCCAG